ACAAGTATTGAAGAATAAAAACTGGCTCGCTCTTCGTGGTCGTTGCACCTTCACTATGCGGACACAATTAAGCATAGAATTCGTTTGAAGACGTTTAATGATTTGGGTGTTCGCCAGTGTGTGTTTGTGTGTGTGTGGGGGGGGGGGGGAGCGGAGGGGGCTCTAGATGTTGTTAAGCTTACGCAAGGGTTGTCGCTCAAAGTTCGGGTCGCTCATTTTATTATTCACATCTGGATGAGCTCGCATGTTATACAAAAGAGCAGCAGCTGCAGGATTTGAAACGGATCATGTGTAGTATCCATAAGCGGGAGAGATCGCCCCGACCACTTCTCAACTCGAAACATTGCTTGTCACAAAGACCACGTAGGGGAAATATTTCAACCGCCTTTGTTATATTTCGCATCCGCTTTAGGCATTCTTCGGTTCTGGTTCTCCTACGGGCTGCGAGTAGGTACCATAAGCAGGATTTTTGTTATTTTTTATTTCTGTGTGTGTGTGCGTGAGGGTGCTAGTTTTAACGAAGGACTCACAAAGCTACATTCTGCTTCCTCAAACTTCGCCCTGAATGGCCTTTGTCACGCACTGTGGCTTGCCTAAGGCTTCCTACTCCCAGTCCGAGGTCGAAAAAAAAAAAGGACATTCCACAGAAACTGTACATAGAAAGAGATTGACCTCGCTTCCTACAGCTCCGCAAAAACCTTTCTTTTTTCCGTCGGAAAAAAAAAGCAAATTTTATTTTTGTCATTGCATAAAAAAAGGCGTGTGCCGGGGGGGGGGGGGGGGGGCGGGGGGGGGAGGGGTCCCGTGGACAAATTGTAACGGTTACAAGTAATTTATTACTTCAAAAAGTAATCAGATTACTCTTGTGATTACTGCCTAATAAAAGTAATCAGCTGATTACAAAATTACTCCAAAAAATAATCGATTACATGTAATTTGATTACTTGTAATGCGTACGGTACAAGTCTGGTGCTAACCAACAGCTCGAAAGCCTACTGGGTTAAGCACACACAATTCAAATACACCCAAAATACAGAGTAAACAAAATAAAGAGTAAAGAGTTAAAAAAAGTAAAGATTCAAAAACATAGTTTCGCTAGTGCGGGAGACGTTATCTTTGGCATTACTATTGTAAGTGCTATTCCCGACACTCACAAAGTAATCATTGAATTTATCTGCAAGTTCACTACCGGAAATAATTTCATTGTTTATAGTCATGTTAACGATGGCTGTATTTTTAGATTGGCTACGCAGAAAAGAATGCAGTTGCTTCCAGACTATATCGGGCTGCCTTAAACAGGATGAGTCGAACTTAGCCGCGTAATAAAGTTGTTTAGCTTGTCTTAATTGAGCGTTAACAAAATTTCTGAACTTTTTGAATTCGCGTAATTTTTCTTCGTCTCGTGTTTTCACAAAAGAGTCATAAAGTGCGTTTTTCTTTTTAATGAGTTTCAAAAGGTGACCATTTACCCACGGCTTCCTAGCTTTCTTGTTTGGACGGATACATTTGATTGGAAATGAAGTGGAGTAAGCATTTCTGGAAGTACTTATAAAAAAATCGTAGCACTCATCAGCATCTGTTGAATGAAACATGGGACTCCAGTCTGTATTCCTCCAGTGTCCTAGAACTTATGTCTTGAGACATTGTTGAAAAGTTTGAAACTGCGCTATTTGACATATTTTTATTGATAAACATGATTGTGGAAGGTGATCGCTGATCCCCATTACTAAGCACACCAGCACTAATATTATTTTCATCATGATTAGTTAGAAATAGATCAAGCAATGTTGATGTGGTACATGTGACGCGTGTTGGAGGGATAATTACATTGCAAATAGTTTGAAGTCAGTGAACCAACAAAATCATCTTTGAGGTGAAAATCTTCAAGCATATTTATATTAAAATCACCACCCAGAAGCAAGAGGCACCTCTCTTGATTAGCAAAACAAAACAACGCTTCTAAAAATTGCATGAAACTCAAAACATTACCATTTGGAGGACGATATAGAACAGAGTAAATATGATTTCCTTTTTTAACACAAATTATTTCATAATCTCGGGTCACAATAGAATAATCACTGAGTATTTCAAAACCAGAGGCACGAGTTTGCAATGAAACGTCACCACCGCGACTATGACTGCGGTTTAAAAAGAAATGAGTGTAGCCTGGAAGAACAAAAAAATTATCATCATCCCTATACCACGTTTCAGTCATCATGACTACATCAAAAGAAATTTGGATTGAGTCAAAAAACAATGAAATATCATCCTCTTTTAATCTGGCGGATTGCACATTTAAATGAAACAAACTCAACGATCTAGTTGTCTCTTTTTGTAGGAAGGTATTTAGACACTCTACCGTCAGAACACCTAAATTTTGAACCATGGTAGTAAAAAGGGAAAAATAGAAAGAGACACGTCAGCTGTATTTAGCGGATCTTATCAAGATCTCCAGAGTCAGAAATAGTAATGACAGGGGTCCCATCCACCTTCCTTGCAAATATTTTAGAGTCACGTACCCAAACGTATCGCCACTGGTGCTCACGTTTCTTTGAGACCGCCATTCCTAGCAACTTTTTCAGGGCGGGGCACAAGTGTTCATTTACATAGATAGACGATGTTTCAGGCAGTCCGAAGTCTTGGCAAGTAATTCTTTTTTTCTTTGCCTTCTCGAGAACAGAGTCTCGTTTTTGCCGGCGCTGAAATTGTACTATCACGTTGCTCTTTGTCGGATCTCTTGTGGGAACACGATGACATGCTTCTATATCAGAAAGGGCAATCTGCTCTCCGATGAGGTCACCAAGTTTAAATACCAGATCATTCACGTTATCAGTTTCAGTTTTAGGTATTCCTTTTACCTCGATGTTGTGGCGTCGCGAATACTGCTCGCAGTGAACAAGTCTGAGTTCATTTTCTTTCAGTAGTCCGGCCATCATGACATTTTTTTTGCGTGAGTTCAGCATTTTTTTTGAGAACGGCGTTCTCACTTATGACAGACTGGAGCTTCAACTTAATTTCTTCGAACTCCTTGTTCATGAAATTCGTCCCATCACTTATGCTTTTCAGCTCAGTGTTTATCTCACGGAGATCAGTTCTGAAATCCCTCTCTAGTGCCTCTTTCATCGACCTAAATTTTTTCTTTAGCTCATCTTTTAGTTCATTTACCAACTTAGTCATATCCTTAAACATAAAAAAACAAACAACATACAATAGAAATACAATTGACATCAGGGAAAGGTAGCAGCAGCAGCAGCAGCAGCAGTTATACACACAAATAAGATAAAAGATACGGCAACCCACCTGCGGTAAATACAGGAGACAATTAGGTGATGCGTTGTGCCGCTGCCGCTGCTGCCAAGTGAAGCGCCGTTGCTCGAGTTCCGAGCTTTTGTAGTCCTCCGCTGGAGACGTGGAATGCCGATGAACCAATCGGACAGGTAGTCGTCAGCTGTGACGCCGCGACTGATACGGGGGCGCGCGAAGGCTTGTATCTTGCTTGTGCCGGCAACGATCTGTCAGCACATTGCAGATGAATTCGGCAGTTACTTCGGTTTTTTCGCTCGCCGGGCAATGGCCTGCGGTAAATACAGGAGACAATTAAAGTGATCCGCTGCCGCTGCTGCCAAGTCATTTTTCTAATTAAAATAAGTACACCGACTTGACATAACAGAAAAAACAACTTCATTAGACGTTTCGCCTCCCATGCGGGAGGCATCATCAGTAGTTACACAGCAAATGCAGGGTTCAACCTAAACACAACGCTATTTATCACGAATGTCCGTGTAAGCTTCGTGGAGAGGGCCGCGGTTTTTGTTGCACACGGATGTGTCCCTGCGAAGAAACCACGATTCTAGAAGCTTTCGGGGCCCCCATCTGTCCTCTCTCGCCAAGGTCGTCGCGGCCGGAAAGTCGAAAGAATGCCCCATTGTCCACGCGTGGTCCACTAGTTCAGTCTTCAGTCGCGTCGCGTGGGATGCGTACCTGACGTCACGCTTGTGTTCTTTGAGTCTGGTATCTCTCCTCCGTCCGGTTTCACCAATGTAGGACGCTGGGCAGTCACTGCAGGGGATCTTGTAGATAACGCCTCTTTGGACGTTCGCCGGGGTTGGGTCCTTTGGTTTGGAAACGGAATTTCCAATAGTTCTGTATGGCTTGAAAACAGTTCGGATGCCAAGGGGCCTCAAAGCGCGACTAAGAGGTTCGGAGACTCCTTTGACATAGGGGATGCACACTACATTCTTATCTCTTTCCCTTTCGCACGGTTCCACATTTTGTTTCATTTTGTTTTTGACCTCGTCAACAAAACGCCTCGGGTAGTGACGTTTCACCAAAGCTCCCTGTAAATGATTCATCTCATTTGCGCCATGGAGCTCATTAGATGACACGGTATTTGATCTCTGTACAAACGATCGCACTACTGATTTCTTGCGTTGCACTGGGTGATGGGACAAAAAATCCAAAAAATTATCTGTTTCACATGGTTTGCGGTACACCCCCGTTTCAATCCTGTGGTTCAGCTCGCCTGTCCTTATTACAGATACATCTAGGAAGGGCGATTTGCCCTGCTGTTCTGCCTCGCAAGAAAACTGTATCGCGGGGTGAACACTGTTTAGTTCCCGGTGGAAATCATTAGCATGACTTTTATCTAAAATGACGAAAGTGTCATCCACATATCGGCGGTAAAATTTGACCGGGAACAGAACTTTTTTCAGCACTTTCTCCTCAATATGCTTCATAACGAGATTGGCAACACTGACAGATACCGGGCTCCCCATCGGACACCCGTTCACCTGATGATACGTCTCCCCACGGAAGGCGAAAAAACATTGGTTTAAGCAAAAACGCAAAAGTAAAATTATATCATCAACGTGAAGTGACGTGCGTGCTTTTAGGCTTTGATCATCAAGTAGACGCTCGCGTGCGACATCAATGGCAACATCGTTAGGAACATTAGTCAAGGACTGGGACAAGAGTCCCAGTCAAGGACTGGGACTCTTGTTTCAGTCCTTGACTGTTATGAAGGAAGCCTTGTGATCTGAGAAGTGACAGGATATGTGTTCCAGGTGATGGACCAAAGGCTGATTTTGAAAGACGAGGTCTATGCATGTGTTTCGAGAGGTCGTCACAGCTGTGTGAGCTTTTACGAGGGAGAGAAATGGGAGGTTTTCCTGCATAAGTGGTATGAAGTTCTTATTCGTCTTTAAGTCTGCATTAAAGTCCCCCACTACTAACATGGGTGTGGACCCACGTGTGCTTAACGCAAGTCGCAGAAAATGCACGACATCTTTGGTGAGTGCTGTAGGCGAGAGATACAGAGCCACCACTACCAAGCCGTTGTCGAACCTGGCGGCACAAAGTTCTCCAACTTCATCTGACATGCCAAATATCTCGATGGGTACGGCAGACAGACCTTTACGCACGTAGATGGTCACCCCCGCCGCTCTGTTGTGCTCTCTACTGACGCCGCAGCAGTACTGGTAGTTCATGATTTCTACCGCCTGTTTTGGATCTATCCACGTTTCCGAGAGGCAAAGTACAGATGCATGGCGTAGGATGGGGTCGTGGTGCACGTCCTTGGAATGCGCCGGCAGAGAGCGAACATTAAGCGCGGCGACTGAGAACAAGTGCGGTTGCTCAATCATTGCGTAGCACTTAGCAGTGACAGTTTGGAGTTTGTGTGACTGCAGACGACGAAACTCATCAAGTAGTGCCCTGTCGGGATTGGGCTTGCCGTGGTAGAACGTAAAGTCATTGTCCACATTGGTGAGGTAGAGCCCGTTGATGTCTGTAGCACGACTCAGTGCCACGTATACCAATTTCTGTGGATGACTGTTGGCATACGAGTACACCACGTTTTCATACGTGCCTCCCTGTGGTTTGTGAATGGTGATAGCACTTGCTTGCACAACGGGTAGCTGGCATCTCCTCAGGGATGTCCTTGACTTCTTATCAATGACGCAAGTGGCTGTGCGTCCTTCGATAGGTGTCCAATTTTGCTGAATATTTCTGTCGAGTGCCCGTAACTGCCGGGATTTTGCGGCCGCCACGGTTCCAATCGCAATTTTGGAACCAAGCTCACCGAAATGCAGCCAGATGCGTTCCGGCTCTTGGAGTGTGTCGTATTGTATGTATTGGAGTATTCCAACAGATCCATTGACCAGACCGTCGGAAACATCGACATTGAGTGTGAGCATATATGGTTTTCCAATGCATAGCATTATATTAGCTGGCAGATTTCCGAGTTCGGCCTTGGGCAGTGTTTCGGCCTTGCGCATTGCCTCTGTTTTCTCCTTCATAGACCTGAATCCAACGATTGTGTCCCGTGCCGCATATGCCACAGAATTATCTTCGGTTGCAATGGCCGTGTTCGTATTGTAGTAGTCCGATTCCTTGTTGGAGTAGTACAAGCGGATGCCACCGGGACAACACGTTTCTGCTTGTTGTTGCGTGACGAGCCGACTCTCGATCAATGCGATTTCTTCGGAATCGAATTCTGCACCGTTTCTAATTTTGGTAAGTATAGTGTAAAACCTGAGATCGCTTTGCCTTACGACCTTCGTGAGGACAAAGTATAACAAATGGTGCCATGCGATTTCCGTGTTAAACACACTGTTCGTCTTGACACGCTCGAAAACCTCGGCGGCACGAACGGGGAGAAGCTGGCGCAGGTCTCCGCAGAGGATGATGTCTAACCCGCCGAAAGGCTCTAGGTATTTGCAAGTGATGATGCGGAGTCGCGAGTCCACTCTCTGAAGGATGTCCGTGGACATCATGCTAACCTCATCGATAATCACGCACCTGACGTTCCTCAACGCATAGCGGAACGTGTTCAACTCGTTGTCCCGCAGTCCGCCATCCCTGTTGATGGTAAGTCTGAACGCTGCATGTACAGTTATTCCACCAAGCGCGACCGCCGCCTTTCCAGTTGTAGCACAGGCAACAGAGGCGTTTGCATTATCTGAACCAGCAGGGTTGCAATATCTGTTGTAGACGTCCATGATTGATTGATTGGAGTCTTATGGCGCGAGAGCAACTAGGCCAAAATGCGCCAGGTGCATACACTATTGCAGGAAAAGGGTTAAGGAGAAGACAGAGCTATAGTAGCTGGTGATACAATAAAAGTATGAACATGAATCGTGTAAAAGATATGGATATGAACTTCAGGTAAGTATAAAAGTTATAATCAATAAGGAATTATCTGAAAATAAAAAAACAAGGTGAAAAAGGAGGGGTTATAACAGGTGTAGATAGCCTGTTATTTTAAGAAATTCCAAAACTTTACTGAAAGGTACAAGAGGTTCATTTCCTAGCAAAAATTTCGGGTGAAATGGAAGATGGGATTTGAAAATAGTGGAAAAACATACTTGTCGTTTTTGATCCAAGTACCTACAGTGCCACAGAGTATGTAGGACAGTCAACGTTTTGCCACAATGCTCACAGCGCGGGGTATTATCATTACAAAGTAAATATAGATGCGTTAAACGAGTGTGACCAATACGCAAGCGGCACATCAAGACCTCGTGGAACCGGTTCCTCTGGTGGGAACTCTCCCATAATCCTAAACACGGTTTGATATTGTGTAGTTTATTGTCTGTTTCTTGATTCCATTCCAACTCCCAAAGTTCATAAATTGATTTTTTAATAACTGGTTTAAAATCCTCATAAGGTAGGCCGACCGATGCTTTTAGGCCACCATTGACAGAGGCAGCCAATCTATCTGCTGCCTCATTACCTGGAATACCTACATGGCTTGGCACCCAGCATAGTTTTATATCAAGGCCAAGTAGGAGAGCGCGATTCATTTGGACACGCGCTTGTTGAACGAGGCGATTCTTCGTAAAGGTAAGAGAACATAAAGCCAGTAGAGCACTCTGGGAATCTACGAACAAAATAGCCTTCCTCACACTGTCTTCTATGATGTGTTCAAGCGCCATGAGCACAGCGTAAAGCTCAGGAGTGAAAATACTTGCAACACAGTCAATACGTTTCGCTCTACTAAAGTGTTCCGAATATACTGCAGAACCTACGAAAGACGGGCTTTTGGCCATGTCAGTAAAAAATTGCACATAGTCTTGATATTTCTCTTGTAATGCAAAAAACGCCTTGAGGAGAACCTGATGGTTAACTGACCTTTTGTTATATTTTGTAAGCGACCAGTCACATGACAATGTTACTGCCTTCCGAGGGGCAACAGTTTGTGTTTCCTTAATCAAGTTACTTTCAGGAAGAGCCAGCTGCAGGGAGGAAGAATTGCTCTGAAGCCGGAAGCTTAATGGGCGTATTATGCTAGGTTTGTTTTCAAAAAGCCGCAAAAACATGGAGGTGTGAACCGAATTGTTTGATGGATGCATAGGATCAGATTTCACTTTGTACCGATAACACAAGCTAAGATAATGTCTGCGCTTCTCTAGTGACATTTGATGTGTATCTACATACAGGCTCAAAACAGGCGATGTCCGAAATGCTCCTGTGGCAAGTCGAAGGCCAAGGTGATGGACCGGATACAGCATTTTCAAGACAGATTGCCGTGCTGATCCGTACGCAATTGCACCATAGTCCAGACGGGAACGGACCAGAGAGTTGTACAATCGGATGAGACATCGCCTGTCAGACCCCCATGATGTGTGTGAAAGTAATTTTAGAATGTTAGACGACCGCAAGCATTTCTGCTTCAGCTCCTTGACGTGAGCCAGAAAGGTAAGTTTCTTGTCGAAAATAACCCCTAAAAATTTGTGCTCGTATTTTACAGGTATCGCAGCGCTATAGAGCTGCAAACAAGGATCAAGCACCAGACCACGACGTAGTGAAAAGGGCACACACACAGTTTTTTCAGATGAAAACTTGAAACCATTTTCATCGGCCCAATTGCTCATTTTGTTTATTGAGATTTGAAGCTGGCGCTCGCAACTTGAGAGATTGCAGGACGGAAAGGAAATCTGCACATCATCTACATATAATGAATATGAAACTGATGGAGGTATCACTGCAGCAAGGCTGTTTATCTTCACCACAAACAAAGTGACGCTCAATACAGCCCCCTGAGGGACGCCATTCTCCTGAGGAAAAACATCCGAAAGTGTGGAACCAAACCTAACCTGAAAAGTTCGGTTAGTCAAAAACTCCCTTATGCAGCGCAACATGCGGCCACGGACACCATGTGTGTATAAGTCCTTTAGAATCCCGTAACGCCAGGTAGTATCATAACCTTTCTCTAGGTCAAAAAATACTGAAACGCAGTGCTGTCGATGAACAAAAGCTTCACGTATGAAAGTTTCCAGGCGAACAAGATGATCCAATGTTGATCGCCCCATTCTAAACCCACACTGATTGGGATCTAAAATTCCCTCAGTCTCTAAAAAGTGTACTAATCGTCTATTTATTAGTTTTTCATAAGTTTTCCCAAGGCAACTGGTCATTGCAATGGGACGATAACTTGCTGGTAGAGTAGAGTCTTTACCGGGTTTTAGGAGAGGAATTATATGTGCCCGCTTCCAGCACTGAGGAAAGGCAGAAGCCATCCACAAATGATTAAAAAAGGTTAACAAATGGCCTAGAGATTCAGGAGACAAGTGCCGCAACATTTCATAGTGGATTTTGTCAGGACCAGGTGCCGACTGTTTTTTTGACCCAAGGGCCACCTCGAGTTCGCACATTGTGAAAGGCTGGTTGTATACAAGAGTGTCTGATCCTGACATAGCAATTGGCTGCTTTTCTGCTACAGCTTTGAACTTCTTAAATTTTGCCGAATAATTAGATGAGTTAGACACTTTACAAAAATGTTCCGCAAGAACAGTTGCCTGGCCTTTCAAGGTTGGCGAAGCCGAGGGAAAAAGGGGCGTTCTAAAAGAGAGGTAGTTACCCCGAATTTTTCTCATTCGGTCCCACACCTCTTTAGTAGTGTCAAAACTGTTCACCTTGGAAACATATTTCATCCATGAGCTTTTCTTAGCTCGTTTCCTCGTCCAACGAGCCTTTGCTTTACATTTTTTAAACTCTATCTTGTTCCAGACCGTTGGGTAGCGGCAGAAAGTGCCCCAGGCCCTGTTCTGACGTTTAAGCGCAACAGAACAGTCTTTGGTCCACCAAGGCTTGCAGCGCTTAGGAAGATTTTCAGATGTTTGTGGAATAGAGGCTGAAGCAGCATTTATGATACGGTCCGTAACGTACAAGGTGGCATTTTCCGGAGTCATAGCTAAAAGTTAGGCTGGGTCAAGCACTGCTTCCAATGCAAAAAGAGCCCAGTCAGCTTTGTCTAATTTCCACCTGGGGATACGTGTTGAAAGTGATGGAGGTGCTACAGTACTTTCTAAAAAGACAGGAAAATGGTCACTCCCAAAAGGGTTATCTAAAACCTTCCAAGAAAAACAGGGAAGTAAAGTTGGGGATGAAAGAGACAAATCGATGGAAGTGAAAGTATTGTGAGCTGCACTAAAAAATGTAGGATCATGTCCATTTAAAAGGCAAAGGCCGGATGACAATAAAAATCTTTCAATGACATCACCACGGGAGTCTTGGCGAGCACTACCCCACATGGGGTGGTGGGCGTTAAAATTCCCCAAGATTAAAAAAGGTTGCGGAAGCTGCGCTACAAGTCCATGCAGGTCATGTAAATGCAGTGGAATATTTGGTGGCAAGTAAAGTGAAACAAGCGTAATAAGGCGGTCAAGAAGAATACGAACTGCCACTGCTTCTAGAGAGGTTGTGAGAGGAACAGAAGTACAGGCAATACCACTCTGCACAACCACAGCTACTCCACCAGAGGAGTTGCTATGGGATGCACGGTCCTTTCTAAAAACCTGATGACGACGTAGAACATTTGTTTGTGTGTCCTTGAGAAGAGTCTCCTGTAGGCATGTAGCCACAGGTCAAAGCTCATCAAGAAAAAAATTCATGTCATCAATATTAGGGAAAAGACCACGGCAATTCCACTGCATAATACTACAGTTTTTTGCCATTTAAACGAAAAAATAAATAAATAAATATATATATATATATAAGTGACCTAAAAGGGAGATCCGTTAAGGTTTAAAATCTATTTTTACACGTGGGGTACTCTGCTTTTTAGGAGAATCTTTCTGTTTCCAAGTGGGGTCACTGGCAACAGAAAGAGACGACTCCGATCCTGAGAGGGGAGTGTCCGCCTCGGCCCTGGGCCCACTTACGTCCATGGGCTCGTCTGTTGCCGCCGGCAGCTGACCCTTGGAGGTCGTCTGCTTCGGCGACTCCCCGGGCTTCCTCTGGGGAGCAGAGGTGCGAGGGGGTAGGCCTCGGCCCTTAGGGGCCAAAGGGCCAGGTGGAGCAGGGGGGGTTAGAACCTGCCCTGAGGTGGATGCTGAGGAGGCAGCATCCACCTTACGATTCGAAAGCGGTGTCACTGGCACCGCTCCCGAGGGCGCAGGAGACCTCGACGGGAGGCGCAGATCGTCCGTAGACGTCTGTGTTCCAGTCGAAACCATTGACCGTACCGGTCCCCTATGTACGACCTGGGCATACGAGCCTTTGGAAACAAAGGCAAAACGCTTTTTGGCATCAATGTAGGAAATGTTTTCATTAACCTTCAAGGTGAGAATTTCTTTTTCTTGCTTCCATAACGGGCAAGATCGGGAGTATGCTGGGTGTTTTCCTTTACAGTTTGTGCACTGAGCTTCTTTCTCACACGCATCAGCGACGTGCTCCTTACTAGAGCATTTGGCTCAGGTCTCGCTGCCCCGACAGTTGCGCGACCCATGGCCGAACCTTTGGCACTTTTTTATTTATTTATTTATTGAAAGTACCCTCAGGGCCCGAAGGCATTACAGAGGGGGAGAGCACATACATGAAACAAAGATAGTAATATAGTAACAAGTCAACAATATTAAATATACAACAAACAAATAATAATAATAATAATAGGTCATGGGTCACTGCTAAAATAGCTAGTGATGGAATTTCTAAACAGGTTAGTATCAGTTATAGTAGCAATCAAACCAGGGAGGTGGTTCCATTCCTCGGCTGTGCG